AGCCCATTTATCAGAGGACTGCAGCCTATGGCCACTTTGGTAGGGACAGCTTCCCATGGGAAGTGCCCAAAAAGCTTAAATATTGAGAAAAAGTGTTAGCCTTTTTTCCCCAGACTTGTTGGCGTAGGCTACAGAGAAGCCTTCAAGCTCTGAGGGAAAGGGCCCTTCTTCCTAAATTTTCCTGTCCTCTTTCAGCTCCTGATCAGTTGCAGTCACTCTAGTCAATGACGTGAATTTTAGCTTTTGTGGGGGACTGTAAGTTGGGCTTGCTATTCTGTCCCTGGTGTTTTGTTCACCATTATAATGAATTTAGTGAGCATAGGTAATCCATGTAACTGCCTAGAAACAGACACAACTGTAGTAAATAATGCTTTGAAATTGAGCCTTTGTGCCCTACCACCCAACCCTCTAAAATCCTAATTGCATTGCCTTTCCCACCAAATGCTGAAAATGTCCTTGTAATGTGCACGTAAAGTACTCGTAGTTCCATTGTAGCCTCTGACTGGCAATGCCCATAGCCCTGTCAGCATGAATTTGTAATGTCTTGAGCTCTATTACGAATGTGAAGCCCTCCCTTATCCTCCCTTTAACTTGATTCATTTCTAATTATGTAGTTCTTTGTCAGGGAGTGTTCCCTTTCCAATCAGTCTTGCATGTAACGCAAGTTCCAGTTGGAGCTCTAGCCTGACACCATTTAAAAAAAAAAAAAAGGGCAGTTACCATTAAACCATCTCCCTGGTGCTTATGCTCTTAATATTGCCACCTCTTAAAACAGCACCAAATCAAAATCTCTCCACTTTTCAGCTGTCTTTTGGAGGACGTACGTAATAAGGTTTTATTTAGTAAACCAATCCTATGCATGGTTTAAGCACTAGCCAAACCTCACCAACTCTTAGCTCTAGAAAAACAGGCACTTGGCACCCTTGTGATGTTATACAGAGAAGTCACAGGGTAGTACCTAAGGGTCTGTAGGTTGCACACTTTGGTACCAGATAACTTTTTTTTTCTTTATAAGAAAGACTGAGTACTCCACACTGCACAATAACTCCTCCCAGGGTTTTAACTTTGTTTTATTTTCAAAACCAGGTCCAATGAGCTTTCTGAACAGCTGGTGTAGCTACAGAGAAACCAGCTTCCTTCAGAGAGCAGTGCTTTTGGCGGGGAGGAGGAAATCCCTTCATACTTGAACATTTTCTAATTGCTTATTTATTGTATTCTGGGGTATGGCGTAAGTACAGAGAAGCCATCACCTCAGATGGCAGCTTTTAAAAGATTTTTTTTTTTTTTTTTTTCCTCAACACCATGATTCCTTTAACAACATGTTTCCAGCATTCCCAGGTAGGCCAAGGTGTCCTACAGAAAAACCTTGGGTTAGACCTACAGGGGGTCTGGCTGGTGTTAACAGAAGGGAGGGCAGAGCTGGTGCAGCTGGCCATGGAGAAAGCTGACTTGGCTGGTGTGGTACAGAGAAGCCAGCTTGTTTACATGCTTATTCCATGACTGCTTGCCCTAAGCAGAAAGTGCCTTTCAGGATCTATTTTTGGAGGTTTATTACGTATGTCTGGTTCTCAATTCCAACAGTTTAATGAAGATCTAAATAAAATGCTAGGTTCTACCTTAATATTGTGTCCACTATTCTTTAAAAAGTCTTGGTGTTTCATATGACCTGAGTAAATTTTATATGTTCCTTTAACCCTGAATGATTGTAACTTAAGTCCTACCCACGGCTCAGGGAAATGACTTGGAACCAGTTGTACAGACTAAAGGCCCTAAAACTTAAAATCCTGTCCCTAGCACTAAGAAACCTTAAGATTTGCCCTTTGCCCAGCATTGCTTTCTAGTTGGTGATGCATTGCCTCCCTATTGTAGCAATTACTATGCTGTCTGTGACATGTTTCCTACTCTTCAGGGCTACACCATAAGCTCTAATAGAGGATAACCTAAAGGGGTACTTCAGTTTTAGAAATTAGGAACTTTAACTAGCTAGTCTTAATTTTGGAAGGGATACACTAGAAAAGATTTTCAGTTGGGTTCTAGCTCCAGAGTTCGGGGTGAGGTAAGAATGTTTCTATATCCTCTACACCTCACCTTTCGAGGTCGCATTTCATATTTGCCAGCAATATTGTTTGAATATTAATTTTTATAAATAGGTATTATATGTTCCATATACATTATAGTTGGGAAGTGCTATAATAATAGGCACATAAAAGGTACAACAGAAATTAATTTTAATGACACTGGATTAACAAAATCACAGTGGGGGAGTGGCTTGAGCTTCAAAAGCTTACTCTAAATTTCACTATGGCAGTTTGTGGAGAATATCCATCTATCGCACTGGGTGGAGGGGAGCCACTTCATTTCCATCCGCATTTAATGTTATCACATGGTGGCTCTACTTAAAGCCTGCAGGAAATGTTTAGACCCAGCATGTTTATACCCATTTGCTACAGGCTTAAAAACTTAGAAATATGCTGGGAAAAGGAAATGATACCAAGGCATTCTCAACTCTGCATGCCATTGAAGAAAAGCTTCAAGTGGCATTTTTACATGTCTATCAGTTGTCTTTTGGAATCACCTGGGGATCTAGTTAAAAAGGTGGATTCTGTACAAGTGAAAAAAATATCAGGTGAATGGAATGAAGAAGTTCAAAGCCCTTACCTAATTTGGCAATTAACCATGGTGGCACCTGGAGGGTGTCTGTTAACTGGTGGAATAGAAGCATTAACAGTAGGATGCTATGCCTTCAAGGAGCTTGTAGATTTAAGAGCTTAAAGAGGCCTATCCTGAAAATGCAAAGTAAGCAAGCTGGTGTGGGAGATCTAAAGCAAATGAGTGGAGGCATGAAACCCCTATATATAAGGATGATCACAACTGAGAAAGTAAACAGGTAATGGATTGTTGATATTATGAAGGGAAAATTTACTTGTGTTTATGTTGAATAAAGATTGTTTCACCTAAGATAATGGGGGATGGGATGAGAAGCCTTCTGGCTAAGAGGACATTAATAGGCCATTTGTCCAACTGTAGTCGCAGAGGTTGATTCCTCCTGTAGATAATTTTAGAAGGCCACCTTAACAAAACTACCCCAATAGTCTCATAAGGAAAATGGATTTCACAGCTTAAGGAAGACAGCATCCTTGCCCATTAACAAACAAGAATTAGCTACTTCCCAGTCAAGTTTTGGGGACTAGGAAATAGTTGGTCTCACTGATAAAGGGTATAATGCTAAGGTACATTGTATAAATGAGAAAAGATACTGCAAAAGGATTGAAAACCAGTGCTCCACCCCACAAATCTTTGAAAGCTATCATGTGTCACTGCCATTCATAGCCTATGCAACAGGAATTAAAACTTTTCATCAGGTTGCCCTTGGCCACCTCAGTAGGGTGTCCTTACGGCAAGCCCAAACCTACACAACTCACATGGTGGCCTTGCTCTAGTTTATTCCTAATTAGATTACTAAGTGGAAGAAGACAAAAAGGTAGGGATGACATAAATAGCTTTGAGAAAAATTGCTAGAACTTGAAATTAGGAAAAAGTGAAAAGTCAAGGCTGATAACTCAGATGGCCTAGTCAGAAAAGTATAGAGTTGTCACTAATAAAAGAGAAGCAGATCTGAATTAGGTAAATTCTATTTAGAGCAGACAGTACTGTGGGATATCCAGATGGAGCTAATTAGATACATAGATCTAAGGATTCACAGAAGTATCACCAGAAACCATGGAAAGTGCTCTGGTGGCGTAGTGGGTAAGGCATTTGGCTGCTAACCAGGTCATCAGCAGTTAAAAGCCAGGCGCTCCACAGAAAGCTGAGGGGTGATCTACTTCTGTAAAGATTTACTGCTTCAGAAACCCAATGGAGGTCACTATCAGACTCAATGGCACTGAGAGAAACCATGGTGTAGATGTAATCATTCCGCTCTGAAAGGCAGCTGCCTAAGAAAGAACTCAAGGGAATTATTTAAAGAGAGATCTTTAAAAACTCATCATCTGTCACTCCTTTATCAAAGCACTAACTTTGTATTACTGCCAGTCTGCCAAAAGACCATAGTTCTGCAGCCAAAAAAATAAACCCATTAAGTCTATTCTGACTCATTGTGACCATATAGGGCAGAGCAGAACTGCCCCATAAGGTTTCCAAGGCTGTAATCTTTACAGAAAAAGACCACCACATCTAGCAGGGACCGTTTCTTGTATTACTATCTGCATTCCTGCTTCTTAGCCCAATGCCAGGCTTTTGGTAAATGTTCACTGAATGAGGAACTTGAATAACCCTTGCACATCCAAACCTACAGTGACTGCAAACAATCCTTAATCCTTCATCAAGTTGTTGCTTTACATCTTCTGCCAACTAAAGACTAGAATAATGCCTAATACTAAATTTATGTTTAGAGAAATACCAGTCATCTAATTTTCCTAATTAGTTTAACCTTGGTGGTGATGTTCTGACTATTCTCATAATTGTTAGTGGAAAACTTGGCTATATAGAGAACAGAAGCAGAAGAAGCCAGATAATAGTAAAGATAAAACTATGCTGTACTTTTAGAACCTGGTTACCATTATAATTGAGAAGATAAGTTTTAAATTGCATTAATTCAGAACTTACAATCAGTGATTCTGAAAATTACAAAAGGCAGGGCACAGGAACTTAGACTTGTTCAAACTATCTGAATTATCTCAGTCAAATAATATTACCTCAGAACCTCAGTTCTCCAACTATAAGATGGGGGTAATGGCTATTGGGATGAAATGTGGTAATGTTGGTGCAGTGCTCACAGTGCCTAGCATCTAGTGAGCACTGGAAAGTAGCTATTACTTTCACCATGGTACATTATATCTCTTTCACCAAGGGGCCAGTCATTTTAAACCTCTTACCCCTTTATCCTATAAGGACATTTTCACATTGTTTCTAACCTCATCTAAACTATCATTTCCAAATTAAAAAGAGCTATGGACAAGGGGGGAAAATGTGGAAAAAAAAAACCCAGGTAATTTTTCTGTATCAATGTCCACTGTATAAGTAATGGTCCTTTCACTGCTTACTCCTCTATCTGCAATCCAAGAATTGATCCCACTCAGAGCTCTAAGTGAACAGAGTCAGAGTTTGACTCAGGAAGATTAGGATTTGAAGAATCTGTGTGTGAATGACTCGACTCTTCAGCTGGCTCAAAGGGCCGCAAGTTTGCATAAGTCACCTCTTGGGCCAGCTGCTCCAGTGAAGGACGGCCGAGGGCCAGATTTCGAAGTGAGATACAGGTCATCAAGAAACTGTAAAAGAGGAAAAAGGCCACCCATTTCAAACTCTTACTTCAACATAGGAATTCCTGTCAAAGCTCTTAGGGAACACATGGTCCTAGCTCCTGTCACCCAAGCATATATGGGAATCTCCCCAGAGTGACCCTCCACATCCCAGGTGGGAAAGCACCCACATTCCTTTATAAAGTCTGGTAGAGGATTCCAAGGTAGCATAGGAATGACCCGTGAGAAGCTGGAGATAAGGTGAGGCAGAACAAGAGACAGCAGGCCATTAGACACAGGCCATTTATTCGTTCATTAATCAAGGAGAGAATGGTGAGGGAAAAAGAGACATCTAGTGCTCAACTATCTTCTCCTGGGGGAGAATCCCTAGTGTTACCCTCACAAAGAATGGTTACCCAGCTTGCAAACATGGGGTGGCAATGACAGGCATTTGTGGGTGAAACTTACCTACGGCGAAAGAGATAGAGCTTTCTTAACAAGAAGCGAAAAAGGCGCTCATGGAAAGGGGTATTTCGCCGGCGTTCAATCTCCTGGAGCCTCTGCTGGCGTCTAAGAAAGGTTTGAACTAGAGGTGTTGGCTCTGGGCCCCCTTTTACATCCCCCTCCAGTAGAGGTTGGAGCTCTGGAGGTAGAGGCCCTGTTTCTGTCCAGAAGACAGCAAAAAGAGGAATCACAAAGATGAATCATTCTCTTAGAATCCCCACCAGCTTCAAGTTCACTGACTAGTGGCTAGATCCTCATTCACAACCCTGACTTCTTGTAACCAGGGACTATAGCAACCTAAATCCTCACATACTCACCGCTTCCATTCTCTACCTTCTCCTTCAGTTCTTGCAGATGTGCCAGGTCTCGCTCCAAAGCAAGGTCCGTAGTGTTGACATAGATGTACATGTAGCAGGAAGGGCTGGATGACACGGTATAAACCTTGTGGTACTCACCAGCAGGCAACTGACAAGGGGGAAGGAATGGATCTTTTTCATTCTCTAACCTTTCCCAACCTAGCCTATAGACTCCCTAGTCTACTTTTCTTGGCATCTTTCTTCTCATTGTGTTTTGGAGGCTGAAGTAACCACCTCTGAAGAGCCCTAGGGGCCCTTGCCTTTTGAGCTCACACTGCACTACTGCTATGATAAAGCATTGTGAGTCTGTAATAAATGAATACTGCTCATCTAAAGTTTCTGCCGTTCTTTTTTTAAAGATGACGTCACAAGATAATTTTGGTCCAAGGTTCAAAAGTTGTTTTCAGCTAAACTTTCTACCATTCTTAATCCCAGAAAAATACCTGCATTTTTCCTCCCTCCCGAAGAGTCTGGTTCTTCTGTTCTGCCACCAGCTCCACAGTCACCTCCCCCTGCAGCAGCTGGATGCTAGTGTTGCCCAGGTCTTCACTCACAAAATTCTCCAGGTGCAGCCCTGCCAGGGGCAATAATGTTCACCATCCCACATCATCGCAGAGTGAATTCTCAGCCAGAACAGAGACATTACACCCACCCTATCACTACCTTTAGCATCCCCCCTCTGCCACATGCAGCATCCCTGGCCAGGGAAGCCAGGAGGAAAGACCGCAAAGCCTCTCCTCACTCCTCTCCATACCAGGGAAGTCTGCAATGAAGACCACCTCAGTGTGGTTGTCCAGACTGCTCTTGATCTCCTGTAACTTGGCTCTCCAGGGAGACAGATCCATTAAAAGTGGCTGCAGCCAGGATGTACGCCGGAAGGGAGACCAGTCGGCCTGCACAATGTCCACACGAGGGTCAAAAATCCTGAGGAAAGAAAACTATATTCTAAGGAGGCCACAGTTATTCACCCATGAGAACTTGAAGTTTTGTTCACACAGTTTCTGGGTGGAGGCAGTAAGGTTTCCAGGTAGAAGAAATGGCTTTATGTCAGCACATTATTGCCAGTCCAGGGCAGAGAGAGAGATTTTGGAGCACTGGGAAGAATGGGGTTAGTGGCAACACAGAAGGAATCCGGTTAAGTCTAAAAGAACAAGTCAGTGAACTTTTCTTCTATGTGATAGTGCCCCCTGCTGGAAGCAATCAGCTATGCCCACAACCAAATCAACAGGGACATGCACCAGATGGGAGAGCCTCTCAAGCAAGACAACACTGGGGAGCATGGGCTGTTCTCTCCCTTTTCTGCTCCCATTGCCCACCTCTGCTGGAAGCGGTCATTGATGGAGACCCAAATATCAAAGTAGATCTGGGGCTCAGTGACATTGTACTTGGGAAGCAGGAGGCTCAGGCAAGTGGCATATTGCTTCAGCATGTCTGCATGATCCTTCCATCGCCGACTCTGTGTGAACACCTGCCCCAAACCCACACATTAGTCCCACCTCATGGTTATCAACTTCCTGGACAGGTCATGCACTGTCAGTGGCACATTGATCCCTACCTGCTGCTCACTTTGGCCAAAAGAAAATAAAACTTGCCTTTGGGGAATGCATTTTTCACTACTGGACTAGTGGTACTTACCTTTCTTAACTCTTTGTTATTATTTTTATTTTTTGCGGTAAAATATATATGCCATACAATTTTTTAACCATTTTTAAGTATAGAATTCAGTAGCATTGATTACATTCACAACGTTGTGCAACGTTCACCATTATTTACTTCCAAAATTTCCATGAACCCAAACAGAAACTCTGTATAACTCCCCACTCCCCACTACTCCCAGGCCCTGGTTACCTCTAATCTACTGTCTCTATACATTTGACTATTCTAGATGTCTCATGTAAGTGAAATCATACATTTGTCCTTTTGTTTCTGACTTATTTCCTGCAGTATAATGTTTTCAGTGTTCTATGTTGTAGCATGCATCAGAACTTCATTCCTTTCTATGGCTGATTAATATTTCACTATACGGATATACTACTACTTTTTGTGTATTTATACATCTGTTGAATGACATTTGGCTTGTTTCCATCTTTTGGCTATCATAAGTAATGCTGCTGTTACCCTTTCTAAATCTTAATGGCAGAATCTCAATTCAAGAATGTGAGTGACATTGCCCTATCTTAATCCACACAAAAGAAAGCTCACCCTGGCTGCTGAGAAAGAGCAAAACAGATCCATATTTGTTTTGCTTTATAGTGTATATAGGAGCTCTGATGGTATAGTGCTTAAAGCATTCAGCTGCTAACCGAAAGGTTGACAGGCTGAACCCATCAGCTGCTCCACGAGAGAAAAATGAAGCAGTCTGCTTCCATTAAGATTTACAGCCTTGAAAACCTTATAGAGCAGTTCTATTCTATCCTATAGGGTGGCTATGAGTTGGAATCAACTCAATGACAGTGGGTTAGTTCGTGGTGTGTGTAGGACCAACCCAGACCAATCTACAGGGGGCTCTGAAAATCAATAAATTGTCAGCATCAGATGTCTCACCCCAGGGTTAAGGTACCCCAGTTCTCCAGTGCGGCCATCACGGTAGGTGATCTTCACATGTTGGTGGGAGCGGGAATGTACCATCATGTCCCAGGAATAGCCATAAAGCCCATTTGTCCAGTTGTTATAGCCCTGAAAAGGCAGAGCAGAGAGGAATCAGCTTAAAGCACAATTCTCACATGAACTCCATCCTCTACCAAGACAAGACTACAAAACCAGGCCCATTCTCTCCCTACTATAGTCACCTCTGCCACTTACGAAGCCCAGCCTCTGCCACACGTTCCCAGCCCACACGCACCTGAGTGAGAAAATGGGAATAGGGCAGGAAGAGCTGCTCCAGGAGGTAGAGCAGGGTGAAGGCAGCTCCTAGCTGATGCCGCAGCCCTGGCTTCTGACTCCCCTTGGCCCGGCTCCTCTTGTACACACAGGAAGCACTGGGCTGAGGGGCAGCCTTGAGGGGCAGGAGCTCTTGCAGCCTTTTTGGACAGCGGGATACCAGCTTCCGAGGCCATTCAGGGGAGCAAAAGAGAGGGCTGCTGGCCAGCATGACATAGGAAAACATACCTAGGAAAACAGAGAGACAATAAGCACTTCAGAAGCCCAGTTGGACAGAACAAAGGTAACTCCTTCAACCCCCTCCCTTAGGAAGCCTCTGTGAGGGGTTCCATTTAAAATGAAAGTTCTTAACTATAAGGTTCTTGTACTTCCCAGAGATCCCTTACATACTAAGTCCAGAAGCCCTACTCCTTTCATCCCTATTTAAGGCCATCTGATAGTGACTGTACTTGGTTCAATTTAGCTCCTGCTCTAGCACATCTTCCATTCCCCAACAGTGCCTCTGGCTAGTCCCTCCCTGCAAACCTGCGGTTCCTATTTCCTACCTGACTATAGGTACTGACCAATGCTGAAGAGCTGGGAATTCATGCAGTGGAAATAAGACACGAAGAGAAGGCCAACAGGTCTTGAGGCATCAAAGAAGAGCAGGAAGCCAGCTGAGAGGTCGAGCAGTAGCCCACACCAATGTACCACCAGTAGGCTAGTCATCTCCTCAGACAACACTAGTCTGCAGACACATGGGACAAAGGGTAGGTACCACTGGAGAACTCAGCAGCATTCACAGCAATTCATGGCAAAATTTACCTCTGTTACCTTGTCCTTGTCAAAGGATCCACCCCAGAGGGTGGTGGGTAGAAAAACTCCTAAGGTATCTATCCACCCTATAGTAGAATTTTCCAACCCCCTTTCATTTTCACATGTGTCTACATTTCTCCAGCTTATGCAATAAGCAAGGGCAGATCTTCAAGGACAAAATTTGATTAAGAAATGTGGGTGTGGCAAGGGTCAGAGTCCTCATGGAGATGAGTGAGGACAAACTCTAACAGGATGGCTTGGCTAACATAATATGAAGGAACTTGGAAATAACAGGAAAAGGGAAAAAGAACAATATGAAACAAGAGGAAAGAAGAGAGTAGGGAGAGAAAACAGGAGAGGAAAACCTCTCTTGTGTAAAGGGTTGGCAATAATGGTTCTATCAGAGCAGGAACACTGACTCTGCCCATCTTCTCAGCTCAATGGCTGAGGAACCCTAATGAGAGGCTTAGGCGGCAACCCAAGGACACAGACACCACCCACTGCAACTGCTGGGGGCCCTGACTCATTCATCAACTCCCCACTGTGGCTCTTTCCTTTCTTTCCTTCTTTTCCCTTCTCTCCTACCAATATTATAGTCTCCCAGAGGCAAGTAGAATTCTATCATTGACCCTGCTTCTGCTGAACAGGAAGGTGAAGAGTAGGCAGAGGAAAGTATGTAGGAAATGCAAAGTAGGAATAGCAGCCATTCCTGCAGACCTAAGGGGGACAAGGCACCAGCTCTGTACACATGCCTCAGCGAGCCTCTGCCCTGACTGCTACTCACTTGAAAGGACTGAAGAGCCAGTGCCGGGACAGGTAGTCCATGGAATAACCTTCAACCCAGTCTGCATCCAGTTTTTTCACACCCGCAATGAAGTACACAATGAAGATCTAAAAATACAAAATGAAAATTGAATGTTCAAACAAAAAAGAACCTTGTTTTCTACAAGCAGTCAAGAATAAAGTGAGTTCTGATCTCTGTCCAGGGCCCAAGGAAATGGAGATCCATTCCTCTATTCATTCATTTCAGATATTCACCCATTCAACAAGTGGTGTGTGCTGACATCCTACCAACACCAGGCACCAGAGCAAAAATTATGAACCACAGATGTGATCCCTTCTCTTATGAGGACTCTACTTTAACAGGGACACAGCTGCATCCTTTCCATGACAAGGTGAGAGAACTCAGAGATTAAGAAACTGGGAAAAATGGAAAAGCCTAGCTTTCCAGCAAAAAGGAAAAAAGAAGATCCAGGGAGATGGAGAGAGTTCATTGTGGCAGTGTGATGGCCATGTGACATGATTGTCAATGAGCACCTCCCTCTTTATAAAACCCCATACCTGGCCACGGAGCACTGCATAGTTCCAAAGGGGCACCTGGGCATTCCTCTTCTGAGCACTCAGCAAACCATCCATAGACCTACATCGAGAAACGTAAGGAGCTTCATGTCCATCTTTCTTTTGAAATGTGGTAAACCTATGTATCCCAGGAACACTTCCCATATCCTCCCTGGTTCTCTGGGCTATTTTGAGGTCCTTTAGAATTATATGAGCAAATCGTAACAGTGATTACTGTAAGCTGTAAGAGAAATACAACTAGGAAGTTGTAACAACAAAAAGTTCAATGTTTACCATTAGTCAGCTAGCAGATGGGTTTGTCCTAATGAATCAAATCACGAAAAAGACAATGTTAGATGCGTAAAGAAGAGAACAAATTTAAGGGAGTGTTTGAGAAGCTAAAGATATGTATAAATATACATATAGTGCATTATTTAAAAAATAATAATTCAAAACACTCAACAGCAGAATGTACAGCACAAAATGACATTTTATTGACCTGGATGCCAGGATCCAACACCAGAGGGCACCTGCTAAACAACTTGTCCTGAAAGACAACTGATAAACCCAGGCTAGGGAGACCACATGCATTTTGGGGAGGCAGAAGCAAAGCAGGTTTTCAAAAAGACAATCAGTAAGCAGAGCAGTTGGGCAAGGAGGCAGCTTATACTTGTGGTCAAGAGTACGAGATTTTTCAGTTAAGGAGACCTGAAGCCTCACTTCTATCCTTTACCTGCTATGTCATCTTAAGCAAATCTTTTACTTCTCTAAGCCTTCTACAAAATGGGAAGAGCACTATGGACCTCATGGGAGTGTACTAAGGAAAAATTTTAAAGTGTTTACTATAGTGCCTGGTGGGTAGAAAGCCCTCTGTAAGTACAGGCTTTTTTTTTTTTTTTTTTTCCCAGTTGTGTAAAGTCATAGAAATGGAACTTTTCTGTATATTCTGTTAAGAACAAGGCTTTGAACCAGTTCATTCCGGTTCAATCCCCAAGTGAGAATTGTATTTCCACCACAAATATCCTGAATCAGAGTCTGCATTTTAACATGATCCCCAGGCAATTCTTATAGCTGTATATATATATCACCTAGGGATCTTGCTACATTTACCTCTGGGTGGGAATGTAAATTCTCAGCAGAGAGCTGAACTAGAATGAACCAGTTCAACACCCTGGTCAACACTGCCTCTTAATTCCCTATGATCGGAGCTGGCCATTCTGAATGAGTTTAAAGGTTCACAAAAGGGGTATCTGTATGGGTGTATTAATGCACAGGATATCTGGTGGTGCAGAGATTAAGAGCACAGCTGCTAACTGAAAGGTTAGCAGTTTGAATCCACCAGCTGCTCCATGGAAGAAAGATGTGGCAGTTTCCTTCAGTAAAGATTTACAGCGTTGGATTTCCATGAGGTAATTCTACTCTGTACTAGAGGGTCACTATGAATTGGAATCGACTCCATGGCAATAGCTTTCGTTTTTTGGGGGCGGTATTAACGAGTAAAACTTAATTAAGACATAAATCTCTAACAAATTCAATGTTTGAGAATTTTTCCTATGTATATCTTACTGACAAGTCATATTTGCTTTTCATTTTTTGTTCACCCCAGACATTTTTATTGTGCCCTTTCCAATCATTCCCTACCCCACCTCATATTTGCTTTGCATTTAACAATGGGGAGAATCCTTAAAAATCACCTGACCTACCACCTTGTCTCTAAATCCCTTCACCACCTCTGCTTAGAGTTGGTCATCTAAGCCAGAGACAGGAGCAAACAGGAGGAGAGCAAACAGGAGAGGCTATCTTCTTCCCAGGACAGCATTGCTGAGCCGCTCCCATGGGCCCTCCCCTCTCATGATCTCTGCCTCATAACAACTTCTATTCTTGATTCTAATTCTACCCTTGGTAGCATAGTGCCTAAAGGCACTTGACTGATAATCAGAAGGCTGGCGGTTCAATCCCATCAGCCACTCCTCAGAAGGAAGGTTGGACAATCTACTTCTGTAGTGATACTGCTTCAGAAACCCAAGGAGGGGTTGCTATGAGTCAGGGCCAACTCAACAGCACATAACAACAACAACTCTACCCTTCTGGGCTCATACAGAGAAAGTATGCATATCTCAGCTAAGTGTGGCTTAAGTCTTCATTTGTCTCTAAGAGAGTTACAGGAAGTAAACAGATAGATCAATGTACCTGGGGAGATATGGAAAGAATGAAGGACTGGGAATGGAGCCATTTTGTATTTTGTTATGCCAAGTGCTCTTACCTGGCTGTCCCCTTCCCACCTCCCAAATCCAGCCAAATTAAAGTGTGACTATGTAACCAAAAGTAGTAAAGCATTGTTGAAAATATGTTTGCTGGGCAAATTCAAGGACCTCACTGGGTCCCTGTCTCTGATAACCATCCTGACCCAGCCAACCCTCCCTTCTGTCCCCCCAGAGTCATACCAGTAGCGGTTTGCATCCATGAACGTCAGCTGAAAGGCCAACAAACCATACAGATAGGAGTGGTTGTTCCATGACGTCTTGTCCAGGAGAAACACATACCAGTATGGCAGCAGGAACAACACACAGCTTATCCGGTAGCACAAGCCCAGCATCATGCCCAGTGCCCCTGGGATTTGTGGGGGAGAGGATTAAGAGGTCAAGGGGTCACCACAGGCCCAGATTCCCTAGAGCATGCTACGGGTGGGATTTAAAAATGTCACCAGGCATTTTATAATCAGCTAAAACCAAATGAAAATTAAGTATTATTTTAAAAAGAAGAGTTATGGGGCCACAGCTCAGACAGCACATAGCATTAAGATCCACAGGAGACAAAGTGAAATAAGGAGCCTAAGACCTTGGTCATTCACCAGCATGCTCTGTATTTCTCTGTTTCAGGTAGACTAGTCAAGATTCCCTTCTTTCCCACAGTTCCCCTTACCCAGAAACATGATGGTGTAGACAAGATACATCCAGTCAAGTGGCAATGGGCGCAGGGCATCCAGTAATGGGAAGCGGCACACATCCAGCCCGTCCAAATATCTGCGGTCCAGGGAGCTAAGCCCTCGCTCCTGGGGAATGTCCAGTACCATCAACAGCCCTGAGAAGGCAGTGAGGGGAGGGGCCTGTTAGGCCTCAGCTAAGGAAGCAGTGCAATACAGTAGAGGACACCCACCAGCAGGGTCAGACTTCTTTTCTAACCCTGACTCTGCCATTTATTCATTCATTCAACAGTAATTACTGAATGCCTGCCCTGATCTAAGCATTATACCAGTAGTGTGATCTCAGACAGCTATTGCACCCACTTAGCCAATCCCACAGGTATGAAAGGGGATCATAAAATTTCATAGGGATACAATAAGGACTGAATGAGAGAAATGTTCTAAATGCTATAAAAACTGCTAGGGTTTCAATAGTTATATTTATACAGGTCTGTTTTACTGAGCTACAGAAAGTGCTCTTGGATGCTTCTCAACCTATTTTGCTTACTGGCACACTCAGAAAACTACTATATGGACAAACACACTGTGGTAAACACAAAAGGCTACCAGGTCAGGAAGCCAGCTCCAGTTAAGGCAGTGTTTCTCAATCTCAGGACTATTTATATTTTAGGCCATAGACAATTCTTTGTTAAGGAGCCCAAGTAGCACAGTGGTTAAGCTTTCAGCTGCTAACCAAAAGGTTTGTGATTTGAGTCCACCAGCAACTCTACCCACCAGCCACTCCTCGGAAGGAAGGTGGGGCAATCTACTTCCATAGTGATACTGCCTCAGAAACCCAAGGAGGGGTCACTATGAGTCAGGTCTGACTCGATGGCACATAACAACAGCAGCAGCAGCAACTCTACAGGAGAAAAGACCTGGTGATCTGCTCTCTCGTAAAGATCACAGTCTAGGAGAACCTATGGGGCAGTTCTACTCTGTCCTATAGGGTCGTTATGAGTTGGACGATGGTAACCAGTAATTCTTTGTTGGGAGAGGTTATCCTTTGCATTATGGGAAGTTTAGCACAATTCCTGCCCCTACATAAAAGACAATGGCTGCCTTACTCCCAGTTGTTACAACTAAAAATGTCTCCACACAATGTCAAATGCCTCTAGAAACAAAATTGTACCCAGTTTAAAACCACTGGGGGCAAAGTGATTAATATCTCAGTACATCTGTAACCCATTCCAAGCACACATGCTGTGGTCTATGAGCTAGGACGCTCCTGATTAGGGAATCACAGTCAAAATGTCTGGCCCACAGCTACCCAGAGGGACCGAGTAGTTGATCCTGCGGGCTTGGGACCATAGTTGCAGGGGACATCAAACTCAATTGGCATAACATACTATACAAAACATTGTTCCACCTACTACTTTGGCGAGTAGCGACTGGGACCTTAAAAGCTAGGAAGCTGCCATCTAGATGCAACAACGGGTCTCTCCTCGTCAAGAAGAAAGAAGAAAACCAAAATTAATGGAAACAATCAGTCCTAGCGACTGGTACACCATCCGATCTGCAACCTATACAACTATGAGACCAGAAGAACTAGATGGTGCCCAGCTACCACTGCCATCCACTTGGAAGGGATGTAGGAGATCCTGCATAAAGAGGGAGAACAATGTGGTACAAAACTCAAAATCATTTGGAGGCAAAAAAAAAAAAAAAAGAAGAAGAGGGTGGGGACCAGGTTTGCTGGTCCAATAGAGCCTGGTGTAACCACTGAGACTATGGCCCCTAGCTGCCCTTCAGGTCTGGAATTGAACCCACAACTGTGGTTTCCAGCCAAACAAAGTACAGGCATGTGAGTTAAACATTTACCTCAAGTAGACACATGCCCTGGAGAGAACAATCATGGGAGAAGGAAGGGCTGCTTATGCACAGGGAGATAGCTCAGGGTGCAGAAGAGTATGAAGGGATGGACACTGGGAGGAGGTAACTATGGGGAGGAAGTGGGAGGGGAGCTGCTGCATTGTAAATTTTGGTCAATGACATGAGACAAAGTATATGTGAACTGCTGTATGAAAAGTGAATTTACTCTGTAAATCTTCACCCAAATCCTAAAAAAAAAAAAAGTCTGGCCCATCATCCCACCAGTTCCTCTAAAGTGCTTACCATAGTTCCCAGGTAAACTTCATGGTACAAGCACAATGGGACCCTGTTATTCCACCTCTAGATTTCCTACAGCCTCAGATCAAAGCATTTCTGCCCATCAAAACCTAATAGGAGACAGAGTGCATGGGAGGGAAGGACACAGGGAAGAGGTAACTACAGCAAGGAAGTGGGAAGAGAGCTGCTACATTGTGGGCAATTGCAGTTAATGTCATAAAACAAAATATATATGAACTGCTGTACCGAAATGAATTTACCCTGTAAACTTTCACCCCAATCACAATAATAATTTGAAAAAAAAAAAAAAAAAAAAGATTAAGCCTTGGAAATCCTATGGGGCAGTTCTACTGTGTCCTATAGGATCACTGTCAGTTGGAATAGACTTGACGACAATGGATTTGGTTCTAACGTAGTGAACCAGCCATGGCATAGATCTTTCTAAAACCTCCTTGACAAATGGTTCTGTCTGTTACTTTGCAATATTAGCTGGTGATACACTTTTTCTCTTTGAAAAAAAAAACCCTAATAGGAGACAAAACTGGGTTGGATCCTAAATTCTACAAGGACCTTTTGCATTATATCAGTATCTTCAGTTTTGAAGAAAAGAGAGGTAAATCCACTAAGTAACCAAAAAACGGACAAGGAACTACTGTCAATCTCTCACCTCCAACTAAACTAGTCCCTCCCAGAAACTGGACTCACCAAAGAGAAAACGGAAGACGGCCAGGCTTGCAGGATCAGTTGGTCGATTCAGCAGGGTCACCAGCCTTCTCCAGCTGGACAAATCTGTCCACTCAAAACCCAAGAGTTTCCCCATTCGGCTGCCCTGCCTAGGCTCTGAGGTTTGTCCAGCCTTTTCTTTCTGTACTTTATCTGCAACCAATAAATGGGGAACAAGTTTGTATGTCTGCGTGTGTGAGGCGGGGGAGTGGGGGAGGAGTGCTTAAAGTCACAAAAATCAGCCCTTTCAGTCTCGGCTTCTGCTACCTGGGCCCTTCTGCCTCCCAGGCTATCAGAAATATCCCTGCAGTGCGACCCCTCTCGCAGAACCTCTCAATCAATGCTCCAGAACCCTTCTCGGACTGCAGTCGCCCAAACTTAAAGCGCCCCTGAATGTCATCATCACCCCAAAGCCTCCTCTCAATAAAGACCATCTTCACCACTAGATCCCACAAGGCAATCCTTCTGTCCCCGCCGCTGAAAACAGCACCTCTTTCTCACGCCAAGGGTGCAGTTCTGAGCCTACCTGAGCCAGGCAGCGCCCGCGCGGACCGGACGGACACTGCCATGACCCGTGGGGACAGGTAGGCGACAGCAGCAGCGTCAAGCCTGCGGGAGATGCTGGAGGTCGCTCCTACAGGCCCCGCCTCCCCGACACGTCTGCACACTCGCGGCCGGCCGGAAAGCGCAGACACTGTCGTGAAGGTCCCCAGCTGCGATGCTGGACTCCGTACTTCGCGGCAGGGGTTTGAGCCCGGAGCTTTGGAGTGGGACAGCGCGGAGGTGTGGTCGGGCTTCGCCTTACCCAGGAGGGGCAAGAATGCTTCCAGACTCGGTTTTCAAGCAGTGCACAACGCATCTCATGCTTGGGCCCTTCAGAAGAATGTCTGCTCTTTGGACCCTAGGATGACCCGGGGTCTCCTCCAACTTCTTTGGGTCCCTCCGGGTCATTAGGCTTCTCTAGGTTATAGTGACCTTGATGTTAGGGTTCGTTTCGGCGGCAAATATCAGACTCTAACCCAGAGATGATGACCGCAGAGTTGAGGAAGTTCCTGGAAAGGCTGCTGTGGCCTAGAACAAGTGCGCGAATCTCTTCATTCTCTGTTCCTGTATCTCCAGAGAACCTGAGATTTGAAAACAGCGGGGGAAACAGGAACAACGTAACTGCAGAGGGATTGCAGAGAAGGCAGTGTGAGTAGAAGGTGATCTATCAGGGAAGTTTCTTGGAGAGCTCAGTATTGAACAAAACTGTAATTAATACCCAATTCTTTGTACTGGGATTGGTCGGCAGGAAAAGAAGAAAGCGTCCTAGAGCAGCAGTTCTCAAACTTTTAGATTTTAGGACTACTTTAGGTAGATAGATAGCTGCCTTGGAATCTACTTTGACTCATGACAACCTTATGAAAAACAGAATGAAATGTTAGCGTCATCGTTGGGGTTATTGTGTCAGTCTGTCTCGCCTGACAGTCTCCCCTGCCTTCACTGGCCCTCGTCCTCATCAAACATGATGTCCACCTTCTGCGATTGATCCCACGTGATGACATGTCCAAAGCAAACAAGTAGGAGAATGTTCTGTTGTGATCCGTAAGGTTTCATTGGCTAATATTGAGAATATCACCAGGACTTTCCTCCTAGTCTTTCTTTGCATGGAATCTCCACTGAACCCTGTCAACCATAGTGCCCCTACTGATACTTGATATACTAGTGGCACAGCTTCTAGCATCACAGCAACACACAAGCCACAGTATGATAAACTGACAGATGGATAGTGGTTAGGACCTGGATCTCTATACACTACCAGAAATTGTTGAGGACCCTAAAGAGCTTTTGCTTATGTGAGTTATATCTTTCAAACTTACAATGTTAGAAATTTACACCAACCTGATGGTGTAGTGCCTAAGGCATTTGACTGCTAACCAGAAGGCTGGCAATTCAAATCCACCAGCCACTCCTCTGAAGGAAGATTGGGCAATCTACTTCTGTAGATTGTAGAGATATTGTTGCTGTTGTTGTTATGTGCCATCGAGTCGGACCCGACTCATAGAGAACCCTCCTTGGGTTTCCAAGGTGGTATCACTACAGAAGTAGATTGCCCAACCTTCCTTCCAAGGAGTGGCTGGTGGGTTTGTACTGCCTTGGAAACCCAAGAAGGGGTTGCTATGAGTTGGACTCAACTCCATGGTAGTGAGGTGTTTTTTTTTTTTTTTTTTAACTAAGAAATACAATAATAAGCCTATTATATATTTATATAAATTGCATTTTAATGAAAAATATATTTTTCACAAAAAAGTGAGATAAGTGGTATTGTTTTACATACAAATCTCTGTAATGTCTGGTTTAATTGAAGACATTGAAGAATATATATCAGTTGTGAAATGATGTTGATTGAAGGAAATTTGGCCTCGTAGATATTTAGCTGAAAAGGAAGAAGCCCTTTAATAGTCTTTTCAGATAATTGAGGATATTTTTCTTTTCTACCACACCTAAATGGTACAAGTGATAGTTTTTTTTTTAATGCATTTTAATTGAAATATAATTTACAGTGAAATACACGGAACTAATGTGACATGAGTCAATGCATTTTTTTTTTCTTTTTTTATTTCTTTTGCAGTATTCCCTCCCCTTCCCTCCCACCCCTGGTAACCAACAAAGTTCCCTTCCATATATAAACCTTTCCTTGACTTTCAACAATAATGAACTAATACTATGTTTGTTCTTCTTTGATCAACTGATTTCACTCAGCGTAATGTCCTTCAAGTTCATCCACATTATGTGGTGTTTGGCAGATTCTACATTATTCTTTACTGTTGTGTAGTATTCCATTGTGTGTATGTATCATAGTTTGGTTATCCATTCTTCTGTTGATGTGCACATAGTTGTTTCATCTTTTTGCTATTGTAAACAGAGCTGCAATGAACATAGATGTGCATATATCTGTTCTTGTCTTGGCTCTCACTTCTATAGGATATATACTTAGTAAGTGATTGCTGGGCCAAATGGTATTTCTAATTCCAGCTTTTTAAGGAATTGCCATACTGTTTTCCACAGTGGTTGTATCGTTTTACAGTCCCACCAACAGTGTACGAGAGTCCCAATCTCTCCACATCCCCCCCAGCATCCACCATCTTCTGTCTTGTTGAACTTTGCCATTAGTGCTGGGGTGAGATGGTATCTCATTGTTTTGATTTGCATCTCTCTGATGGCTAATGATCATGAGCATTCCTTCATGTATTTGATGTCCACCTGACTATCCACCTGAAGTGTCCATTCATGTCTTCTGCCCATTTTTAAATTGGATTGTTAATCTTTTTGTTGTTGAGGTGTTGGAGTTTTCTATAAGTTTTAGAGATAAATTTCTTGTCAGATATGTAATTATTGACAAGTATGAATTTGTTGCTGCCATTTTGTTATATATTTTTTGTGGTGTTGATTTCTTTGTTCCATATAATTTTCTATGCTGAGCTTGTTTTGTTTATGAATCATGTTATCACTTCCTTCGTTGCTATTGTTTTAGCATTTGCTGAATATTCGTACTGGTCCTTTTTTTTATTTTGATGTGAAGGTTTATCATTTTTCTTTGAGATTACCCTGTGATTTATAATTTCTTCCCAAGTTTAGAACAGTCTGTTCTATCTTGTAGTTGTCTTGACTTTCCTACCATTTAGAAGTTCTGTAACAACACAGTTTTTTCTATCTTTTTGGTTTGTAGTTGTCTTCATTTGTCAATTGATGTCTTTGGTTCCCTGTTTATAATCTTGTAGACTTATTTACTTTGGAAACTTCTATAATTGGGTTGGTTTCTGGGTTATGTCATCATGTGTGTTTGTTAATGGTCAATTATTGTTTGCTGTTGTTGGTTCTCTGTCCAAAGGACTCCCTTTAGCATCTCTTGTAAGGTTGGTCTGGTTTTAACAAACTCCCTCAATTTCTGCTTATCTGTAAATGTCCTAATTTCACCATCATATTTGAGGGACAGTTTTGCCAGGTATATAATTCTTGGTTGGAAATTTTTTTCTTTCAGGGTTTCATATATACCATCCCATTGTCTTCTCACATGCATGGTTTCTGAAGAAAAATCCAAGCTTATTCTTATTGGTTGCCCCTTGTAGGTAACTTTTCATTTTTGCCATGCTGCTTTTAGGATTCTTTCTTTGTCTTTGGTTTTGGTGAGTTTGATGATGATATGCCTTGGTGATTTTCTTTTGGGGTCTATCCTGTTTGGGGTTCATTGGACTTTTTGAATGGATATATTCTCATCTTTCATCATACCAGGGAAATTCTCTTCCAACAAATCTTTGACAATTTTTTCTGTGGTTTTATTTTTCTCTTCCTGTTCTGGAATTCCAGTGACACGTAATTATTCTTTTTGATGGTATCCCACATGAACCTTAGGCTTTCTTCATTTTGTTTTGATCTTTTTTCTGATTGATCCCTTTCCAAAGAAGTATTGAGGTATTTGCCTTCAATCTCACTAATTATGTCTTCCATTGATTCAATTTTACTCTTTTGCTTGTGCATTGTATTATCTATTTCTGAAAATTTATTATTAATCTTCTGGATTTCTTTCTGTCAATTTTGTATCATTTCTAATTTTTCATTTATTTTGCCATTTTGTTCTTGTATTGTCTTTCTTCTGTATCTGTGTTAATTAATTCACCTTTTCTATGTTGAAGAGGGTCTGTGCAGTCCTTCTGCCTATTCCGCCATCTTTCCAGAACTCTTTTTTTATTGTCTTTCTAAATCATTCACTCCCCGGAAGGAAGGTTGGGCAATCCTACTTCCGTAGTGATACTGCCTTGGAAACCCAAGGAGGGGTTGCTATGAGTCAGGGCCGACTCGATGGCAAATAACAACAACAACAAAATCATTCTAGGGTTTTCTATGTTTTCCTCAATTTTGTCAGTGTTTTCGTTGATCTATCTCTCAATCCATTGAAGGTATCTAAATTTATTTAAATTCTTTTGAATTCCTTATCAGGGAGTTCCAGTGCTGTGTCTTCCTTGGGGATGTGTTTTGGGTCTGTATCCTGGTCCCTTGTTTCTCCTGCTTTATCTTGCTTCTTTTTGTGTACTGTGATGCTCTGTAGTCTCCAAGGCATTTTGATGTTTTTTTGTTTATATTTAATTGGTGATTGTATGTTGGAGTGACTTGCCCACGATTTTCGTTTCCTTTGTTTTTTTTTATGTTAGCTATGTAAGCAGGGTACTGTGCTGTGCTCCTCTATTCACTAGTTGGCAGCACTTAAACACTCACCACCTGTCTCCTTTCCCGTTGCCTGCCTCCCATATGTCCCTGCCGTTCTTGGAAAATGAAGCCTATTCTTAGGTCCCTGGAATCCGAATGAGAATGCTGTCACTTTAAAATCCAAAATGGCTGCTGCTTGTAAACTTTCAAAATGGCTGAGCCCTTGGTCACTTTAAATATCCAAAATGGCCACCACATGTAAACAATGAAAATGGCTGCACTCTCCAGACAGCCAAAAGTCCACAGCTCAGGTTGTCTCCCTCCTTGCTGTTTCCCTTCCTAGTCATAGGCCACGAGTGCAGTCATCCCTGCAGCTCTTGGTGACCAGGGCTGATCTTTAGGTCAGTTCTTAGGTCCCAGCACCACTTGGAAATATTCAGGCTGTCGGTCCTATCAGAGTAGCTGACAATCCATTGCTCCAACTGTCTCCATACTCACTGTTTTCGTTCAGGTTTTTCCACTAGTTGGTGCCTTATCCACTTCTGTATATTTCCTTTCAAAGCTCAGGGCTCCAGGATTATCTTCTGTATCTCTGTCAA